TTTCTTATTTTTTTATTTTTTTTTATTATTATTAGAGAGATTCAGGATCTTGAATTGTATGCATGCGATGGCTAGGGTTGAGATTGACATTTGGAAGACAACAAAATTTTAATGTTAAATAGTTCTTCCCATTAAAAAAAATATTATTTCACATTTTGTGCTTTCTAGTAATAAGAAATCATTGAGGCTCTCTTTAGATTCTTTTTATTTATTTATTTATTTTTTAACTTCCATTTCTTAGTGTTTCTTATCAATAAATTCAAAGTGTTGTCCAAAAATAAATTTGAATTCAACAATAATCATAAAAAACTAACATAAATCTATATAAAATTATATTTGGTGAATATTAAAATACTAATAAAATGTAATATCATAAAATGATATAGATGATAAAAATGTGCAAAAAAAATTTACAGCAACATTAGTTCGATCACAAAGCTATTGAAAATATGTATTAATCTGGACCTTAACATAACCCTCCTATTTTTTCTAAGATTTATAAATTCAATGATCACCCTCAACATCTCTTATTGTTACCTTTGCAAGGTACTCTCTCTCTCTCTCTTTCTCTCTCTCTCAAATTGTTGTTAGGCTATGAAATTGAAACCGTTCATGGAGTTTAATATCATGAAAATTTATCTAAACATTTGTGAGAAATATTGAAACATTGAAAAACTTAAACATACACATTGATTCATTCACTTACTTGGTTGATGATTTACATTCCTTCCAAATTTATAATGAATTTATAATAGAATTTCGACGACAATATATCAACATATGATCATAAATTTATTGTTAAATCACCACTTAGGCTCCGTTTTTTTTACTGCTTCTTAAAGAAGCTTTTTGTTAATTTTTGTATTGAAAAGTTGCTTTAAAAAGCAGTAAGAATGCCGTCCCAAATAAAACCTTAATCATCACAAAATGACTATTCGGTTGTCCTTTTTGACGAATGATATTATTCATTACTACGTACTCTATCACATTTTTATGATGAATTCAATCACTAAAGTAAGTATCAAATTTTATGCAAATTTTGTTGCTATTTTTTAGAGGTTAATATGATGAGAAAAAAAAAATTATAATCAGATTTGTCAGTCTTACATGTAAGATTTTTGGCAATCTAAATTCATAGAGATATATGTTGCTTAAAATTCTGTTAATATTAAATTCAAATTTAAACTGTGGATAACAATTTAATATCACTTCTTATTTATAGGTTCAGGACAGAGATTTGATGCTACAGAAGAAGCTATATTTAGGTTACATAAAATAAGAAGATACATAGCACAATGTAAAAGATAAGGCGTGTAGCCAAATTACATAGACCATACAAGTTGTTAACTGATTGAGGACAGCAGAGGATGAAAGCATCGACATTAATGTATAGGTAGGGGTTTCTTTGAACATTTAGGGTCGTTTGTTGTCTTCATATGAAGTGTAAAGTATTTTAAATATAGGGATTTTGAAATGTTGATGTTTGATTTGAAGTAAAATAAATATACTGTAAACTTTTTATGCATTTGAAATTTATCATCTAGTTCATTTTTGACGCATGTGAAATTCTTCTTATTTCATCGAGTTCCAAATACACCTAAAAATCATTGCAATTTTAGCTCTCCCGTCTTCGACAGCTCGCTAACACCGACCACGTCTGATAAATGCAGATCACTGCCACTATTGGCCACCCACCACCACCTCCAAACACTGCTACTATTGGCCACCATTGCTGGCCGTCACCGCCAGCCACTAGCTGTCGGCCACCATTACTATCAGTTACACTGTCACCAATGTCGGCAACCGATCACTACTATTTTATCCTTTACATAGTATTAATTTTACTTAAAAAAATAATATCATGCATTCCTTTTACACTCATCGAAACAAATAATTAAAAATTGCACTACATTGTATTTTTTTAGACGACCAAATAGCCCCCAAATTAAACAGTTTGCACATAAATGTCCCTCTTTTAAATGATATCAACATATTATTCGTTTTAGACAAAGCCACAATTATTATTTTCATCAACAAAGGCTTTCTTTGGGACGGCTTTCTTACTGCTTCTTAAAGCATCTTTTTAGTACAAAATTTAAATTTTCTACTAAAAAATTAATTTAAGAAGTATAAAGTCATCCCAAATGAAGCATAAGTAATAAAATATTAAAAAATTGAGTAACTTTTCCTAAAGTGTTTTTGTTAATACTTTTTCTTTTTAAACTTTGTGAAATAAGAGTTTGTAAGAGAAAATGAATTCTAATAATTAAAAATAATATTAATATTAAATTTAAATTAAATATATTTTAGTGGTTATTTATGCAATTTCTGCAAATAAAATATGTTGCAGTGTTTTAAAACTGGCTTCCTAGTAATTACAGCAATGCCACGCCCCAAACCCCACTGTCCTTATACAAGTAATGCTGTCTGCTCTTAATTGGTAGAAACAAGAGAGGAGAGAGATGAATATTTCCTGTTTTTAGAATAAGTAGAAATAATTGATTGAGATCAGTTCTAAATAAAAACCATTCATATCTTAAGTATTGGATTGGCGTTTGGCCAAATTTAGATTTGGAAGATTGCATAAAATAATTGGTGTGAATTGGGTTATGATTGAAGTATTTATAAATTAAGGAATAAAATTAAATATAACTTTAATATTGTATCATAGATTTGGAGTTATTTAATTAAGTTAAAAAAAATTATTATTTTTTATTTGTGAATAATGAAATTTCTAAGAAAATTTCAACCGAATCTCACAAGAAAATAAATTAATGCAAACTATTTTTCTAATAAATTAATTATTTTATGGCTGATTTCTGTTGGAAAATTTTCTGCCCCACCAGTAAAACTCGCGTAGGAAAAATTTTCCTGCATAAAAATAGCTGCCGGAAAAGTTCATCTGGCCAAAGAAAGCTGTCGGAAAAATCCGCCGGTAATGCACGATTTCCTTGTAGTGTTTAGTCATGAAAGTTGTTTTTATAACAACTTTTCCTAAATCAACTTTATGAAATGTTGCAGCTGTCCTAAACAAGTGCTTAATAAAGTCAATAAAATCGATTTATCTTATGTTCTTACATGCCCTGATTTGATTGGATGACATTTTCTTACAAATAAAAAAAATTTATTTTTGATAGAATTTTGTGTTAGAAGGCAGGGTAAAAATGTGACAATTAGCAGGTTTAGAACGCAAAAAAACTTCGAAGAAGATTAATTCTAAGAGTTAGTGAACGGAGTTTATTGATTTGTTTAGATATTAGCTTGAACGACTATTGATCAAACATTTTGCACAATGATATATATTTTTAATATTTGTTAGCATTTATATGACCAAATAATATTTAAGATTATTTTGATGAAAAACTTCTTTTAACTAAAAAAATATCATAAAATTCGTTTTACTCTCTTAAAAACCCTTTTAGTTATTTATCAAAACAAACTTTATAAGATCATTTTATTCATATTTAAATGATTCAAGATTCGTTTGGGACGGCTTTCTTACTGCTTCTTAAAGCAGCTTTTCACTTCATTTTTTTTAATTTTTATACTAAAAACTGCTTCAAAAAACAATAAAAAGACCGTCCCAAACGAAGGAACAATTATTAGGTCCGGACACCGGATGTAGCTCTACATCCAGAGGCCAATAACATGTCGCCAAGTGCTCTTACTCTTTACCGCGCGGCCCGACGACCCGACTCTGACCGAAACCCGGTATTGCTATGTTCGGGTATTACTAGGTATTTCTCGGTTTTGCTAGGTATTGCTTGACAATAACAAGAAATACCGCTCTATTAAGACCAATACCTAGCAATACCGAGCAATATCTAGCAAAACTGAGGTATTGCTCGATATTGCTTGGTATTGGTCTTCACATAATGTTATTTCTCGTTATTGTCGAGGAATATCGAGATTTACCTAGCAATACCCCCGTCTGCACAAATCAGCCAATACATAGCAATCCCGAGTCGTCGAGTCGCGCGGTAAAGAGTAAGGGCACGTGGTGCCATTTTACTGGCGTCCGAACGTAGAGCTACGTCATGACACTGAACCAAATAAAAATTCCAAACGAAGCCTAATCTCCTTATCTTTTTTATTGAAAGTATATTAATTATCACAGTCATAAATTTATTAGAACCATAATCTGACTAGTTTCTAATATAATTTTTGTAGTTTATTTGAGTTAATTTTTATAAAAAAAATCACTTGATTAAATTATTTCATTTACAAAACGCCACAATGCCATAAAAATCATTATCCCTCGTCATGTTGGTCACATTAAATAATTATTAAATCTATCCTAATATTTTGAATCACCCGTCAGAAATAAGTTAATTAGCAATTAGCACAAATAAAGCTTCGATATTACTGATAATGCCATCATTAGCTGAAAACAAATAATTGCTACGTCTTCTCATTATCCAATCTTCTATTCAAAGCCGACCTCACCGTCACTTTTTATGCGAATGACCTCACCGTCCAGAAATGCATACGCAGCTGCTTGCATAATTTCCTCCGACAAAATTTTAAAATAAAAAGACCCAAATTAAGACCTAAAATTGGGACCTGCGACGTGTAATTCAACTTTCGAATTATTAGCCATGTGACGTCCGTTTCCTAAAGAAGAATTTCACGTCGCCGTATGTAGTCCTATCGTCGCGTGGATTTTATTCAGCTGCTGGCATGGGACCACCACCGTACACTTAGCGTACTGGGTCTCGACGTGCGGGTCCCGGACAAAAATGTGCGAAACTTACTAGGTACGTCCCTATCATTTACTGTATTTGCAGTATATAATTTAGTATTTACAACAAAAATATCTATACCAAATTGACGGTCAAGATTGCATCAAAAAGTATTTCTGCGGTTCAAGAAAATTTCGATATTATCGACGTCTCGGACAGAAAGTTCTAACAGCCAAATCATAATTACGAAACAAACCCTCAGGTCAAAAAGTCAAAAACTTCGTCGCGCACCTAGAGAGTAATAAAGATCTCACCGTCCCCGATCCTCAAGGAGCTCTTATCATCATTCCTCACATCCGCTATGGACGGCTCCGACGGCGCCGCCGTCCCTCCGCCGCTGGCGGCCGAGCTTGAGGGGGCTGAGGATCTCATTCTTCACTGGGACTCGACGTTTTCGCCGTCATGCAATCGAATGGTATTCGACGGCGGCGACCGTACAGACGCCGTTAGTAACTCCCCAGCCGGCGCTCGAAGCAGCCCTAAGATGTCGCCGGCGCCGGTGAGCAATATTCAGATTGAAATCTTGCGTCTCGAGGACGAGTTCCGCCACATACTAGTCTCCAGGGCAAGCAACTTCGAGATAAACTCGCTCGTTGAACTGGGTTCACTCTCTCTCGACCGGTCCAGGTCTGGTGACCGGATGCAAGAACTATCTGACGCCGACGCCGACGCCGAAGACGAGAGTTTCCAACGTCAAAGGAGTGAAGGGAGCAGTAGTAACCACGCGACGAGCTACCGCTCCACGAGTAGCATCCGTGAGATTGATCTCCTACCTCCCGATGCGGTCAACAAACTCCGAAACATTGCCGATCGGTTGATCGCCGCCGGATACGACCGCGAATGCTTTCAAGTGTACGGTGGCGTCCGTAAGTCCGTTGTGGAGCTCTGTTTCAAACATTTAGGGATCGAGAAGCTTAGCATCTGTGATGTCCAGCGGCTGGAGTGGGGCAATTTAGAGTCCAAGATCCGTCGATGGATTCGCGCAGCTAGGGCTTGCTTTCGGATCATATTCGCCAGCGAGCGCCGCCTCTGCGATCAGATTTTTGATGGCCTGTCTGGAGACGATACCCCCTTCGTTGAATCGGTGAAGAGCGCGGCTATTCAACTTCTGAGTTTTGCTGAGGCCATCAGCATTGGCCGCCGCTCTCCAGAGAAGCTCTTTAAGGTCCTTGATCTCCATGACGCTCTTACGGATTTGCTTCCTGACATCGCCATCATATTTCAATCCAGAGCTTTGGAATCAATAAACACGCAGGTTGTGGAGATCATCGCCAGGCTTGCCGAATCTGTTCGAGGAATCTTATCAGAGTTTGAGAGTGCAATTCTCAGAGAACCCTCGAAAATTCCTGTTCGTGGGGGTACCATTCACCCGCTTACGAGGTATGTCATGAACTACATCAGTCTTATTTCGGATTACAAGCAGACTTTGACTCAGCTGATCAACTCGAGGCCACCAGCAGCTAATCTGTTGCTCGGCAATAACTCCGGCGGCGTTTTGCCTGATATGGAGTTGCCGGAGCCAGTAAACCAATCACCTCTTGCTTCCCATTTAATCTGGATAATATATATACTCCAATTCAACATTGAGAATAAAGCACAGGAATACAAGGATGCTTCCCTTTCCCATCTCTTCTTAACCAACAATTTACATTACATTGTTCAAAAGATTAAGGGATCAACGGAGTTGAATGAAGTGATTGGAGATGAATATCCGAGGAAATTGACAGCGAAGTTTCGGCAACTGGCAACTAGCTATGAGAGAACAACATGGATGAAAGTTCTGTACTGCTTGAGAGATGAGGGCTTACATGTAGGAGGAAGCCTTTCATCTTCTGTTTCAAAATCTTCCCTCAGAGAGAGATTCAAAGCTTTCAATGCTGCATTTGAGGAAGTTCACAGAAGACAATCGATATGGTCCGTGCCGGATTCTCAGCTAAGGGAGGAACTAAGAATTTCAATATTAGAAAAGTTGTTACCAGCTTACAGATCCTTCTTGGGAAGATTCAGACATCATATAGAGAGCGGGAGACACCCAGAGATGTATATTAAGTACTCAACTGATGATCTTGAGATAGCTTTGGCTGATCTTTTTGAAGGGTGCCCACCTCCTTTGCTTGGTAGGAGAAAGTCCCATTGATGGTTCTTTTCAGTCTAATGAGATTTGCAGAAACTATTCTTTTAATCTTTTTGGGATGTTTTCAAGTGCTGTGGTTTTAGGGAGGTGAAGAATGCATTCTGTTTATTGAAAAATCTTAATCAAAAACATTTTTTGGGCAATGAAAATTGCAGGCGACTGAGTCATTTTTTTGAAGTTGCAAGTCACTAGAGCCCCTGTAAAGTTTCTTCTGTAAGTTTTTTGTTAAATATTCATTTTTTTTTCTGTTGAGCAAGTTCGTTCTTTTATATATATATTGGATGCATTTTCCTATATTTCTCAAGAAGTTTTAATTTTGTATAATTTATAGTGAAGAAATTAATTTATTGATGAACATCTATGTCTTCATTAAAAATTTATCCAAACTATTTCGATTTGAGAGTAGTTATATTTTGCCCAGTTGGAACAAAGCTTAAGCTCCTTCAAGCCCCTTTGTCTGCCGCAAGTGAAGCATTTCCTATTGCAGTGTTATAACTGTTGTAAGTATTATATTATTAGCTATAACGCTTCTTTTTTATCATTGTTATGACCATCGCAATGAGAATAATTTGCAGTGCTTGAACTGCATTAAGGCTTGGTTTGGGATGGCTTTCTTACCGCTTCTTAAATCACCTTTTTAGTTTAAAAATTTATTTTTTTATTAAAAAACTGCTTTAACAAGCAGGAAGAACGCCGTTCCAAAGGAAGCTGAGTCTTATTTTTAGCTTCTTGTTATCTTGAATCTTATACTTGATTGATGAAGCAATGGATGCACATTTTTTTTCTATTTGTAGTTCCTTGAGTGAACATTTTCATGTACATTATAGGTTAGTTTTTAGCTAGAGAATGTTATATGACAAATGGATGATAGTACATATGATATGATGTGTTTAGTCCAAAGTCATTCAGACCAACTATATTTATATTTCATCATCTTATCTTCTACTACTCCTACGATCCCTTTTATATCATAAGTAATCAATCCTTCTTTCTTTTTGCCACACATTGATCTTAAAATTCTCATTCATATGCTTAATTTAGCTATTAATGAATTCTTTATTGGACAACACTTAGGCTATATTGCATATGCAAATCATAAAATTTTCAAAGTTTATTTTTATGGCTTTGTTCGGGACAATTTTTTTATTGCCTTCTAAAGTAGTTTTTTAGTTGCTTTAGAAAGCTTAAGAATGTTGTCCAAAAAAAAGACCATGGCTTCATTTGAGACAACTTTCTTACTACTTCTTATATCAGCTTTTTAATATAAAAATTTAAGAAGCAGTAAGAAAGTCGTCCCAACGAAACCAGCTAAAATCTCTAGGATATTCTCTTAACCCGTAAGGATTTGTTTAGCTTCCCTTATGGTGTAAGCTGAAGTAAATTGTATATTCAAATTAATCTTGTATTATGAATATACGAACTGTTCAGAGATGAAAAGATATAAATTATCAAGTCTTGCTAAACAAGTGGCATACAGCGGTTGTTTAGCACTCAGCACCTCTCAGCAGACTCCTTAGCAGTAGGGCTGTCAAAAGTGAATTTTGGGTCGAACTCGAATCTTAGCAGTAGGGTTGTCAAAAGTGGGTTTTGGGTCGAACTCGAATATGACCCGCCACTTTTTAATCCGATCTGGACCCGACCCGATTCTTTTATGTTTTATTAAAATATTTTAATTTAAATCTAAATTGAATTAAGGTAAGATTTACTACGATCAATTTAAAACAAATTAAGCTTAGTTCAGTCTGGGCAATATGGTTTATTATTATTTTAAAATGATATTTATTTCTTTTAGAATAATTTTCTATTTTTTTTCTAAATCAATTAAAAATGGGGTCAAACCAGGTTCATTTTGGATTTTCGGGTCAACTCAAATTTTATTCGGTTTTACAAATAGGTTGAAATCGCTATGTCAAATATTGACACCCCTACTTAGCTGTTAGCAGCTTCTTCACCATGATGGTATGATATGATTTATTGGTACGTGATATTTATTTATTTTATGAATGAAATTTTAATTTTATGTATTATTTTAATTGCCTAAGGAAGAAATTATAGAGGTGGTTCCTAATAGGGTTGATTCAACATAACTGTGCTAGTATTTCTCATAATTTATTTTATAATTATTCTTATATAAAAAAAGAACGAGTCACTTAAAAATATTAATATTAAATAAATTTAAATTATATTAAGATTCAATAATTTAGTATAGAGTTAACAATATTTAAAAGTTACAATTCTCTCTTTTATTTTAACTAATTTTTATTGAACATCTTATTTTTTAATATTATTATTATTATACCGATTTGAATGAGAATGATTTTCTCTATGTAATTATAAATGAGTTGAATCAAAATTAAGCTTGATATTTTCTCAAAAAATTATCTTGATCAAGCACGAATATCGAGGCGAAACTGAACCGGAAACTTCAAAAAATAAATCTGGGAGCCCGAACTCCGATTTCAACGAGCTTATAGTCAAACTGAGCGTCTCGGAAATACAAACCCAACGACACCAAATTCAACTCGATCCGAGCCCAAATGAGCCCAAATCAAGCACCTGGAGTGCTGTTGGAAAGCTCATACTGCAATTTGAGTTACCAAACAGTCTCTGATTTTAACGAGCTTATAGTTGAATCGAACGGCTCGACGAGACGAATCCAACGAGGCCAATATCACTGAATTCCGACATCATTAAAACCTTCAAATGTCTAATGAACGGTGCACGATCAAGGGATTCAATATTGACCGTCCATTCGACCACTCCCTATTTGCCCTTGATCTCACACCTATTTACGAGCTATGTCACTCCAAAAAATTTATAAATAGACCCCTCATTTCTTATGAGAGAGGACCCAAGCAAGAATAAGAGAAGAAGATGGGAAGAAGAAGAGAAAGGGAAGGAGAATCAACTCCTCCTTGACCACCGCCGGAGTTTTTTCTGCCGCCTAAATAACGCCAGAATTATGCTAGATATTCAGGTGACGCCGGAACTTTGCATAACTTTGTAACTGAATTTTCAATTCATAAGAAACTCATTGTAATCTGATCGTCCTAACTTGTGAGACGAATCAGCCTCTTGTACCTCAAACTACGCTAGTAGAACTTTTCAACTAGGCGTGGCCCTGTGGTTTTTCCCCTTTTTACTGGTTTTCCACGTAAAAATCCTGGTGTTCGTTTATCTCATGTTTGTGTGTGCTAGATATTCGTACAACGCTCAGACGAAAATTTTCTAACTCTACCGCCGCCTATATTCTAGCCCGCAACAAAGCTAAAATTCAAGCTCCCATCGCAGGCTCCTCTTTCGATGGTCTTCGGGCAACTAAGGGGAATAATGATTCAATGACTATTCTATATTATCTGAGTCCAGATGTTTATGCTATGAGGAGCTCTTTTTGTGTTTACTGCTTTGAGTTTTTATCATTTTTTGCTTGACCTGATTCGAGCTAATTTTTGTGCTCGAGTGAGCAGTCCCTAGCTGTTCTTGGGACCTTTTGTGTTTCACTGTTGCACTCTTGTAACCTTTTTGAGATTAATATACGGGCTAAGCCCAAATTTTCCCAAAACTTTACACCTTCACCAGCTGTTGCTTTAGAAAAAGCGTTTGATGGGAGAAATTATTACATCCGGTCAAAAACTGAACGGTCCGAATGTATACCGAGCAATACCGAGTCTAAAATACCAAGTTTTAGGCGACGTGACGCGCGATTATTGATCTCTGAACACATTTGGACACCGGATATAATAATTACTCGTTTGACTGGGTGATTAACCTTAACTGATTTAGAAGAATAATCCAATCAGAAATCTATTGGCCCGCACAAATGATTGAGACAACTTTCTTCATGCATGCACAGTATCTTAGAGAAGATTGATGTAAAGTAGTCTTTGGTGCAGTACTGATGACAACTGCACTATCAGAATCATTATTTTTTTAAGTTCAAACAGGTTTGGATTTTTCTTCAATTCTTAATGGAAACTGTTGGCCTCCCGTGATCCCGCGTTCGAGTCGGCCCAAAAATAAATAAATAAATAACCTGTAGCTTGCAAGTTATGTCTACTTATTTTATTTGTATCTCTTTGTTTTTTTTTTGGAAAAATTTGGGGTCATAGCTCATTTTATAAAATATAATAAATTGAAAAATTACAGGAAGGAAAAAGAACCAAGCGACTACCAGAACAAAACAGTAGTAGCAAGGCAAAAGAAAACCTCTAAATCAAAATAAAATTACAACAGCAGGAAAAAAAAAAAGGCAAAAAGAACTCAGAATGCTAGTAAAAAATGGGACCTCCAGCTCTTGGTTGCCGACGAAGACCGTCCAAGGAGAAGCTGGGTAGCTACAGCACTCATCATTGTCCATCCAAAATAGTTCGGCCAAATGTTTATTTGTAACTCTTGCCAGAGAAACTGCGCATCAGAAAATAGAAAAGTGCTTCCTTTGCTTGCTAGTGGAATGTATATAGCTGAAGTCTAAAGCAGCTGCCTTTAAAATTGCTCGCATTTAGGGGTGTCAAAATGGGTGTTTGGATCAAGTTCGAGTAAATTTTGAAATTGATCCTAATTCAATTCAATTGACTCGAATCCAACTCAACACAACCCACGAATCTGGAATACGGATAGGTGCGAGCGAGTTCGGGCGCTAACAGATACGAGCCAACGGAGAGCACGGCCTGCGTGGGTGCTAGCATGAGATCACTACAGGCCGGGGGCTATGTTGCATCGATACACCTATTTATGAAGGCGTGTTGTATCCGATACACCGATACACGGATACGCCTCCGATACTCCACCGATACGTGTCGGATACGCTAAAGCCGTATCCAATTAAAATACTATTTAATTTCAAAAGGACATGCGTATTCTATACGCGTGTCCGTTGAAAAACAAAAAGAAATCCAAAAAAAAAAAAGACGTGTCGTATTTACTTTCGTGGTTGCGAGCAAGATTCTCTCATTTCCTAGATGGATTTGAGTCTCTTGATGATATAAAAATATTAAAAATTATTAATCTTTCCCTTGATGAACCTGAATTAGAAGCTATGATATTTATTGAAGATGATATGGAAGTTCAAAGACAAACCAATGAAGAAGATAATTATATCATTCCTTCTATTGAATAGTTGAAACTTCATGTGATAGATAATTTATGTTTATGCTTTTGTTGTTGTACTAGACATTTAATACTTATTTATATTTTGATATTATAAGCTACAATGCTACAAATGATGTTGTTGCCATTTTTTTTTTTTTGTATTTTCAAATATTATGTTTTGATTGCTTTCTTAATTTTTATGTATGTTTTATAAATTATAATGTCGTGTCCGCGCCGTACTCGTATCCTGTATTTTTAAGAATTGACGTGTCCCGTATCCGTATCGTATCGTATAAGTGTCGCCGTATCTGTATCGGTGCAACATAGGCCGGGGGTGAATAAGGTTTATTTAGGATTCTAGGTAAATTCGAACCCAACTCAATTTTAAAAACGGGTCATAAAACGAATCCTGGGCTTAACTCGTATGACACATGAGTTGACCTACCTAAAGTTTTTAGAGTCAATTCTAAGTCGAGCTTCAAATATAATCAAGTATTGACACCCCCCTACTCTCTTATCCACTTGTTCCACCACATTTTTTAATTATTTATTGTCAATCTTTTTTATCTATTATGGATTTTAGTTTATCTTAGCAAACGCAGAGGTTAATCCCGTACTGAAAAAGCTATGTATATTTTGATTTAATTAATAGCAACATAACAGCAATAGCAACTAGGGCTGTCAATATTGGACCCGATCCGAAAATTTTGGGTTTGGGTTGACCCGAACCCGAAGCGGGTCGGGTTCGGGTCCGAAAAACCGACCTGAATAGTGCCGAGTCAGTTTCGGGCTTGACCCGAATTCGACCAGAAACCCGAAATTGACACCCCTAATAGCAACCCCTGCAAAATGATTTTCCAAAATTTGTGGCTCTAATTAAAATACTATAAAGTATTTACTTAACAAATAAAAATGAAAAGCACTATGCATAGTTAATAGATGAACAGGGCCACATATTGCATCATTGACAGGGAAAAATTTTAACCTCAATTTTATCAAATAATTTTTTGAACCGTATAAATCCTACCACCTTAAATCCTAATTTTCTCCCATTTTAGGCTAAATTTCAAATTTAATAAGTTCAAAAGAACTAAAGAGATTTACACAAACTTCCTTCTACTTTACCTTTATTTAAATTCTAAGGCTTATTTGATACGACCTTCTTATTATTTCTTAAAACAAATTTTTAATAAAAAATTAAATTTTTTGTATTAAAATATTTTTAAATATTAAAAAAATCTTCCCAAATGAAGCCTAAATCACAAAATTATTTATCAAATAATTTACTACAATTTAATAATATTTAACATTCATCATGCCAAACAATTTTTTAAATTAATTTTTAGAATTTACTAAATCCTATTTGTAGCCAAACAACACAAGTCTCAAATTCTTTATGGTAGCAACAGGGAAAAAAGGGCCAACAAGAAATATTTTTCTGAAAAGGAGTCATGCACATCTAGGGCTCAATCTATAAATAAAATCAATATCCACATTACATTCCTTCCAAGAAGCTGATCACAATCAATACAACAAAAAAGCAGCTTCCATGAACAAACTAATAGAATATACATCACATTCTCACCTTCAGCAAATCTGTAAAGAGAAAAGTCAACATTCGCAATTTCGCATTATATCAAATATAACTCGCTTAATCTTTAGACTTCACTTGGAATAATTTTTTTTTACTATTTTTTATAGCAGCTTTCTAGTATAGTACTGCATCGGGTACTCATACCCACATCCACCCATGTACCCACCCATACCCAATGGATATGGGTACACCCATGACCTTGTGGGTGGCTACTCAACATCGGGGGATAAATCGATTTAAATTGCTAATCACCGTATATCTTATATTATTGCAATCCTTACAATGTAGTGTGCAGCACTTAACCACACTGCGACTACAGTAAATTCTAATATGCGGCTTGAAATTTTGTAACCATAGCAAAGGATAACAAGCATCAAGACTATCAATATGTGACAGACTGCGTTCAAAAAGCATTGAAAGTGAGTGGGTATAGGTGGGCACGGCATCCCAAAAGTCACCCTGGGTGGGCGAAGCCAAATGAGTAAAGCATTGGTGCTCAATGGGTACCCAACCAGTATCCTATGTAGAGCTTTGCTTTCTAGAACATTTTTTATTTATTTTTATATAAAAACTATTTTACAAAGCAGCACAAAAAATATCTCAAATAAAACCTCTGTACCAGGAGAAATTATTCTGTGCGGTCACCGGACGCCGTCCGAAGGCAAATCAAGACGCGCCATGTCACTTTTTTGTTATGTATCGGATGAATGAAGTGGCGCATTTTTTATTCATCTCCAGATGATCAAGTGACTACACAGAATAATTTCTCCAATAAAAGTTAAGCAACTCCATGGACAAATTATAGAATACACAACACGCACTCACCTTCAACAAACCTGGAAAGAGAACAGGATGAATATGTACCGCTATACATTACATAAACCACGCCGCGAAAAAAAAAAAAAAAAGTTTAATCAGATCCGCCACAGCATACCGAACAGCACTCGCTGCATGCGAGGCATGAAAGCGCCGCGCATAACTGCGTGAGAACCACCACGCACTGATCGTTCATCTTAGAGCAAGTTTTGATGCAGCACATACAGCAGCGGCAATCAAATATTCCGCTGCAACAGCCGACAGCTTTCTCAATAGCTTCTTCGAAGGGCTGTGCATGCTTTGGTTTGCTATAACCTGGAGGAAGATTCTCTGCGGTCGCCAATGGGTTTCCAAATCCAGGAGTTAAGTTATGGAGCAGAATTGGCGTGGGGATGTGGTCTCCAGCACTATCAGTCCATGATTTTTCATGTTTCTTCGCACGTAATGATAAAATGAAATAATTAGAGAGAGCTGCTATGAGCTTAGAAACGCAAGGTTTAGATATTTTCATGTGTGAACTATTTATTATAGGAATTTGTAACAATTATTACTATAACATATTCAAATAATTGATGATGTTATTTTTTTCATTTCCTGACATGTTCTCTTGTTTATATATATGTTATGCGTTAGAATCAGAAAAATCAAATAAATATGTAGCATTTTCATGTTTTCTATGGAGAGAGAGAGATTTACTAAGGTTTTGTCATAAAAAGAGTGAGCAGCTAACTATTTTCAATTTAGGGGTGTCAAAAACAGGTTGCTGGTTGGGTTCGGGTCGAACACGAACCCGATAGTGACCCATTGTTGTTTGACACGACCCAAACATGACCCATTTTTTACAAAAGGGTCAGATTTTACAACTCGAACCCGACCTGCTCAAAAACCAGGTCAACCCAACTCAACACGAATGAACCAAGGTCGGCAAAAATTGTTGTCAAACGTGTGGGTTGGTCCTATAAGAAGGGGTCAATCGCGGATTTTCGGGTAAAAAATAGGTCATTCTGGGGTTTCCGGGTCAAAACGAATCATTCTCGGGTTTTCAGATCAACCCAAACCCAACCCGGTTTTTGAAAAGATCGATTTGTTGAACACGAATCCGACCCATTTCACTTCCGGGTTGACCATAATCCGGAATTTTCAGGTCGGGTTCGGATCGGGCTTTTGGATCGTGTCAAATAATGTAGAGATTATTCTGTGCGGACATCGGACTGGAAAACCGTCCGGTTATGCTATGTATCGAGCGGTACCGAGCGCAGTACATTTTGGGGTGAAGTGTCGTATTTTTATTGGTCTCTATAAGACATTTGGACTCCGCACAGAATAATAAATCCAAATATTGACATTGTAGACGGTGGGCTCTCTGTCTTGAAATTGTGTTGATTTTAAGTGTATGAAGTATTTCTTGTATAATATAGATGAATGTTACCTATAAAGAGTAGATGCTGCCTTTCCAATCGAAAATTAACAAGGAAAAAGTGGGCTTTTAAACCAGAACAGCTCACGATTAACACGTCTATTAAAGAATGCAATCGAAAACCAATATTGGATTCATATTAATTAAGAAGTAAGCGTTTGAAATGTGACAGAATATGGAAGCCATGACAAGTTTCGGACTTGCAATTGATATAATGCAAACAAATAAGAAGAGTAAAAACATAAAGACAAATGCATATAATTACCTGTTTCGGGCCTTCTGGCATTTTTCCCCCCTTTTCAAGGAAGACCATATGGGTATATTCTGACGGAATGCCAGAATGTAAACTTAATTTAGCAACCTACATATCAGCAAAGATAAATAGTTGAAGTTACAATCTTCCATTCAAACATTAAAAAATATTGTAGGTTTAAGCTTATAAAAATCATATAGGGTTCAATGATACATCACACATTCACATGTTATCCATAAGTAGGATTACAAAAGGTTGGATGAATCCAAAAGAGAAAATTTTCAGCCCCACAAACATGGAAGAGAACGGTTAAAAAAAAAAAGAAATAAGCCTCGAAAAGATTATTAGAATAACCATACGTCTTAATTTGGTGATGGATCAATCTATATATATAAAGAAAAATGTAAATTTGTGAGAAAATCTCATAAAATAACTAAGGTTCTTCTTGTTTCAAAGCCCATAGAGAATTTTACAGATCAAATCATGAATAAAGTAATCATTATCATCATATTTCAATTGTTAATATTAACTTGCTTAACTCATTTATCAACGGCTTCCTTTGATGTACCGACACTTCTCCTCAAAGAGACAAAAACATGTTCAATTAAAAAAATATTAAATACAAATTGGACATGCATGTTCGACACACATCTTAAATATTTATTAATTTTTTTAAATATAATTTCTTGTATTTAAAATATAAAAACTACATTTCTTATTTATTATCCATAACACCAAATCAATTGCTCGCACTGAATATCCCATTCATCGAATATTCTCATTTTCATTTCTCTTTGGCGGGTCATGACTTTGACTTCACAACAATGTCCGATGTCCTCTCAACATCAACATTTGATGTCGTTACAACATCAATACTTCAAAATCATCTCAGCATTAAAGTCTGACACTATCTTGACATTAATGCTTGAAACTAGCAATTTCTACACCTACAACTTAACATATCATCTTTGTCCAACGTCATCTTAACATCTACAACAGCCGCCCTCTTAACATCGACACTCGATACTTACTGCATAACATCAATGCCCGTCTCTCGACATCACTGTTGTCACCTTTTGAATTTGTCCTATCAAATTATCCTTTAATTGAATTATGCAATCAGAAATTGTGCCCCCGCTATAAAAGAATTTCTAGCTCCGCCACTGGCCATGTTTGTGTTTATGCATTATAGATGACTTCTTTATTTACACTCAAATCCATATAACCAAAATTAAAAAAACCAATATTAAGAACTTAGGCATGCCTTAAGCCAGAACAAGGCATATGCCTGATCTAAAAAAAAAAAAGAAAGTTAAAAAAATTAAAGACAATTCATGAACGTGACATTAACCATCTATAAATTGTTAAAAAGAAATTAAATATCTAAACCCTTAAACAAAATATAAACAGACAAATTGAAACAAAAAAAATTAAAAAACAAGAAATCTCGATGAAAAAGATAATAAAAAATGGTTGAAAATAAAATAAAAAGTATTAAAAAAGAAAACTATATATATATGTAAGAAAAAATGAAAAAATGAACTAAACAATTAAAATAAAATTAGTTTAAAAAAAAAAAAAGGAAAAGTGATGTAGTGGATCGGCGGAAGACGATACCTGCAAGAAGGATTTGAGGATTCCCAATCCAGGGAAGAAGAAGAGGAAAGCTTCTCAAGCTTCAAAGGGTTGTATATATCATTCAATGACCTCCATCCTTTACAATAGCCAACTATTTAAAGAGGAAAATAGAACTATCTAGACTAAGGAATGTAAACTAATCCCTAAGCATAATATAAGCAAAGATGTTCCTACATCAAAAAGTAACTAAAATTTTAACGCATTCAATTTAAAAGTATATCTTTTTAAGTAAAAATATCAATTTGAGGCGTTCACTTCATCTGCATTGATTTTTACAGCATAAAGGTGTAAGCCTCGGATGAAAATGCCGTAAGCCTAACTCGGGCCAAAAAATATAAATCTGAAGATGCTTATTGAGTGCCTTTTAGTGAAACGGTCACCTCAAACACCTTTTTAAATAAGAGTTTGTAGTTAATTCAAATGAGGAAACAAGAACGAATAGTCTGTTATGGTAGAATAATATTTTTGTTAATACAACAAATATTTCATGAATTGTCCCTAAAAATTTGTGAAATTAAGATCGTCAATAAAAAGTTATAGAAATATCCTTGACTATATAACTCAACGGAAACATAAAAAATGACAATGAAAAATAACCTTAGATGATTTGACAAGTACAAAGGAGGCTAGAAGATGCACAACTAAGAGAAATAAAATACAGCATAACCAGAAAGAAAAAGGGGTAAACTAGAAAATATCACTCACATGGCTAGAAATTGTAAGAAGATTAGTGTAAAAAAAGCCAAACACCTCATGCAGCATTCAACTAAAACTGGGATGACTTTCTTTCTGCTTATTAAAGAAAATTGCTTTAAGAAGTAGAAAGAATGCCGTCCCAAATGAAGACTCAGTCATCAGCTAAACCAAATCATGATAATAGTACAGACAAGTTGCTCTAGAAACATTGTGAAGCCACTAACCTTATCCGCAAGTTGCTTGCTTTCAGAAAACCACGCCTGGGCCGTAAGAAGATCAATTTGTTGCTTGGAAAATACCTAGATTAAAGAAGAATCAATCAAAGAAATATCAAATATAGGCTGCTCAACAATCTTATTATATGATATCAAGATATATAACTGCCAATCGTTACAATCATTTAAATGTCACTAATAACTTCAATCTTAAGTTCTTTCTGAAAATGCAAGATGATTATAATAGGAAGAAAAAGGTACGCAGATCAAACTGATTAAATTTGCTGGAAAATCAACACATTACAACCTAGATATGATAATGCTGGGAAGTCAACACTAACCTTCGTTTAATTTTAATAAATGTGAAGCGTACTTAAATGAAGTCGTCATCATCCTTAACATTAAAGTCAGTCATATCCCAAATATTTGAACATGAAGCATTACACAGAAGCTAATCAATTTAGTGTGATAAATTATCATATCCCAAGTCCCGAAGGCAATACACCCCAACATCTTGAGATGCAATGAAGGAATTAAGCTCAACTCTTAAAATAAGTTTCAAGAATGAATATTGATTTAAACTTATTTTATACTCACAAGAGAACGATTTATATACAAGTAATTATAAACAATAAGAATAAGCATGAAAAAGTAAATAGTATTCCATTTCATAAATAGAGAATATTATACTGGTATAAAAAGGAAGCAAAAATAGCAAGTATTGGAAAAGAAACTAGAAGCAGCAATTACATAATTAGCAAAATACTAGAGAAACCATGCAATAATGAGCTAGACCTAATAGACTACTCCAAAATACTAGAGAACACATTAAATCTGTACAAGAACCAAAGTCATAGGCATGATCCACACATTAACAAGAAAATAAAATACATTGATACAACTTATAATAATCTTGACCTCCTATGTCATCGATTCAATTTACTTTCTAATTTCCATCACTCTCTCTAATTCATTTTTTCAAAAATCAATTTTATAATACAGATGCTTTTGACATTCCCCTTTATGCCATGCGGTTATAATCTTTCTAGCATTATGACCTTTATCCCAATGAAGTTGTGAAAATCACTTGATTGTCCATAAGAGTCCAGTTGTGTATAGCGCAGCACAAAATAGATTCCCCACGTGTTTTTTGAAGAGTTTAAAGAAAAAGAATTGTTTCTTCTGAAACTGATCTCTTTACTGGACAAAACCTCCAACACTAATCCCTTGAGACATCATACTAAGTGAACATATGCAAATATTATAAGGTCAGTTGAAGGCATTAAAAGAATAAGGCATGCAGAGAGATCTAGTAAGAAAATCAACAATGAGAAGTTTTTTCAATATAATATCATACCAATTAATTATAATCCCACACAAAAATAAATTCCATGCGTACTTTTGAACTGTAAAAAGAATAAGGAATTTTTTATGTGCAAAGATAGGCGATGACGGTAGGAAGGACCGTAGTCAGGCGACACTAGTTGAAAGGGCCTTAGTCGAGCAATGGTGTTCGAAATGATCGAAACCAAGCGATAATGTTGGAAGAATCGTAGAAGGGTGATGATAGTTAGAAGAACCATAGTTGGGTGATGAAGGTCAGAAGGACCGTAGTCAGGCGAAGATTGTCGGAAGGATCATGGTCGAGCAACAATCGTCAGAAGGATCATAGCCAAGCGATGATGAAGGTAGGGCGGTGTTTCGATGGCCGCTGTCAAGCAATGGTCTGACGGTGGTGCTCGAGTGATGCTCTGGAGTCCTTAGAGTCTTTGAGCTCTCTTAAATCTCAAGTCAAAGTCCAAACTCTAGGCCGCTCTTCATGTAGAGAGGGGGGGATCATTTGTAAATTTTTAAAAGTGGTATGTCCTGTAAATATAGAGAAAATCCTAAACACTCAATCGGCCAGTCTATATTAATTTCCTTGATAGAAAAAAATGTTCATTCAACATTTAAGTGTTGTGATGTTATCGGAATTAAGTAATCTTAGGCTTGTTGGATTCATCTTGTCGAGATGCTCGATGATCATAAGCATGCCGAATTTGAAAATCATTTGGTCCTCTACTTAAAGTCCTGAAGTTTTCAATTTGTTTCAAGTGCTTAATTTGCACTCGTTCAAACTCTAATTGGGCTACTTTTAGTGTCATTGGATTCATTTCATCGAGATGTTCAGTTTGTCTAAAACTTTGTTGAAATCAAAGTTCGTGTGGTTCTGAATTTAATTTTGAAAGTTTCAAATTCAAATATATATAGAGATTCATGCCCGATATGATGAAGGCAACTTTCGATGACATATCAAGAATCACGTCTGCTGAAATTAATCCATTAACTGGTCGCCCTACAACACTAATATGCACCTGCCAATTAAAGTACTAATCTGACAAGCAACAGCAGCGGTAGGATAGGTTTACAATTATCCCATGGATGTTTGGGTGACTTACAATGAGTGTAAGAACTTCATAATATGTCTCTTGGGCCTTCATGACAAGCCAGAAGCTGATGCAGGAAAGCATTGAGCAGTAGGCATGTTACTAGCCAATAAACTAATTTGAATTTTAGATTTTGAAAGGGGATGTTTCGGAAGATGAATTTAGGGTGGAAATGTTGACTCTTCCTTAAAAAGAACAACAAAAAAAGTGCTTGCATTTTCAATTAGCTCAAAGTTTGGTAGAATTGCACTTCAAGTGTATCATCAGAGAAGTGTATTTCAGGTTTTTGCACGCTAATCTAGCGCTTAATACCTACTTACCTACCTTGTAGATATCAATCCATCGTGGACCCATACAAAAACGTAGCACATGCTTCTGCGGGCATGCATCTTTTATATGTTCAATCATACAAGGCCAGAACCATCTTAAGGTGATCATTTGAATCTTGCACATTTCTTCTTCTGACAATAGGATACCATTAATCAATTTGCTCTGCCCAAGTTTAGTTTGAAAATTCAGCCATTTCTTGCAGGAATACCTAGAAATATTGTATTTAATCTTCTTAGAATAATAGAGATTAAAAAATAAATTAACTAACATATATCGACAGGTAATACCATTATCACTAGTTGTCTCGTGCTTATGAAGCCAATAAGGGGCGGTTTGTTTCAATGTAAGCATCCAGAAGTGATTGAATCTCATTTCTAGAAGTGAGTTCAACTGTTAGTTTAGTTGAATCTGAATAGAAACGAATTATCATTCTTATTCTCGAAACTCAACTTAGAAGACTGAAGTTTCAATTTTAAGAGCTAGAAAGTCGATTTCATTTTTGATATTACTTCAACCTAAGTTATGAAAATTTCTTATAAGGGACTGTAAAAATAAAATTCATTATAGCTCAAACACAAATACAGTTCACAAGAAGTCAATCCCTAGAAAACAAACACATACCAATGCAATTTGCTTAAACGCGCTCAAAGATTCAAACACTTACAATGAATTAAATTTTCCCTACAAAGTTCAAACACTGGATAAAAAACATGCAATATGTTGCATGATCATAATGACACAAAACTACAGTTTCATATTTAATGCTTAAACATAATTTGTTTAAAAATATTAATAGAATTTAATAACATAAGCAACTTACTCTTTCTAAAGGTATGTTTCCCATATTTTGCACCTTCAGATTGATAGCGATGTCACTCATGTCAGCCAACCTACCTTCAACTTTTACGGTGTCTGGAAACTTCCCCTGGTACTTGCCTGATATGATCAATGGGCATCCAGCTAAAAGATCTGGAATGTTGCTAGGCAAAACCTAGAAGAAACTCTAAGACAATTAGGAAAACATGGTCCATAAATGTTAAGCAAATTTTCACATAATAACAAAAATCTTATGGTCATTGAAAACAAAGCAGCAATACAACAGCTGCCCAAAAGAAAACGTCAAATATCATCAGAACACACATTAGTCTGCTTACGATATAAGATCCTCTTTATTCTCTCTTAAAAACTGAATTTTTTAAGGCCCTGTCAAATACCAAGCTATCTGATTCCCAACTACGAGCTGCAAGTGGCTCTGCTCCCAATGATGTGAATGATAAGTTACTTTTATGTACTTGTGAAAGAATCATCAGCCTATCTAATCAAAAAGCTGGTTAGAAGAGTTTTTTGCTGTTCAAATGGGTTTCTCGGGCAGGTTCAAAACAGTCATAATGAAGAGACGGGTTCTCACTTATGTGGAAACAAACCCCAAGGTGGATGGGTTCGCAACTCCCTCAGAATCATTATTTCCCATGCAGCAGAAACCAAATATCCTCAATGTGATATCCATCTCTCTTCAAGAACAATCTTAATTTGGGCAGCCAGGTAAGTGGCCTGCACCTTGTTGTTTCAAATGTTTGGAAAGGACGCTGCCAAGGATTGCAGGAATGTCATTACCTGTTATGATTGCAAAATAATGGGTCACGTTTTCAATTTTTAATCATTATTCTTTGAAGAAGGAATTTGTTCCTCTACATATGCCTTTCTTGTAAGAGGTTGAAGAAGATAAATTGCTCTTGTAACTTCGATTTTCTCTGTTTCTGACATAAGAAAAAAAAAATGATCCTTCAAACGCACCCAACTAGCTTTGGGATAAAAATTGGTTTCATTTCTATCACATTTATTCAGCCAAGTTCATTCTTCGATAAATTCAGCTCTAAATAGAGGTTGAATAAAAACAGTAGTTTTACCATCATGGTGAAAAAATACGATAAGAGCAAGGTTGCTCTAATGTCTATACTTTGAAGAAGGCTTGATTAGGCTTGCATAATTTGTCTTTGTAACTGGATCTGATCTGCTCTCGACTTCATTATCGCCCGTTTTGTGAAATTGATTTGTATGGACAAGCAATAGTATCTCAAAAGCCCTTCTTTGTGAAACATGAGTGCTGCTTGAGGTTAAAGACCACAAAGTATTCCAAAAAGTCTTTTGATTCATGCTCGAGTGCTTATATTAGTATTCATATTAACCCTCGCATTCTCCCATGATGATTTCAATCATCATTACTACCTACCTAAATTAGCCTAAGTAATTTGGGAAATAAATTAACTCAATTTGAAATTTAAATTTGAACTTCAAATACTTTCCTAGATTAACTAAAGCTAAGTTAGGAAAGTTCCTAAATTGAAGTCCAATTTAAATTTCAATTAGATTTGATTTAATTATCCTTTTTCTAAAGTAGATTCATGATTTAGGAAGTTTTAATTCCCCTCAATCCCCTTCCTTTCCCACACATGCCGCCGGCCCCCTCCTAACCCTCTCTCCTCTCTCCACTTCAATTATCCTCCACTTGAATTTGAAATTCAATTTCAAAATTTCAAACTCCTTTCCTATTTTACTAAATCTGAAATTAATTTCAGATTTTTGTACCTTACCCTATTGGAAACCCTAATATTAATTTCACAAAACAAGTCCCTTCCCCTCCTAGGCCGCCCCTCCCTCTCTCTTCTTTCCTCTTGGATTTTATCCCCTCATGAATAGTATTCCAAGAGAAGGAGAAGACACACATCCTCTCCCACTCCTCTTGCAAGTGGATGACCGATCCTGAAGTAGACCACGGCTTCACATACGATTCTCATGGGCAGATATATATTCTTCAATCGCCGTTCTTCGACCCCGACTGGGAGATAGAAGACACCGTCAACGATTACGTCGACCAAATCCTATTCCACTTAGTTGAGACTATCGACGAACAACTACCCTCCGGACAATGGCAAATCGTCGAACATCTACCCGCGTCTCCTCCTTCGTCTACCTTCCTGTGGATCAAGACCCTTGGTGTCCTATCACTTTTGGTGGCATTGCTAAGATTGATGGCATCTTCTTTCCGCTAAATCCCTTCAATGAGTGTGAGTGAGGGAAACTTAAGATGGCTTATCTAACTGTTACATGGTGGATTTCACGTTTACAACATTTAAGCTTATGTTTATGATTGAGATTATTGTAAGTTCTTGCTATTCTATTGTGTAACTCAAGGCCATATCAATATCAATATTTTAAATTCCTAAAATCTCATCTAGTGAAACATTAGTTTATTGTTAATTTGCTTAAGTAAAGTTTTCTTTATAAATTTCTAACGCAATTCCTAGTTTGTTTCACATCATTAGTTACTTTTCTCTGTCTCTTTTTTTTTTTTATATATATATATATATATATATGATGAACCGGCTATCTCAAGGCCTCTATAGTTACCAAGTGGATCCTGCAGTATTATGGTGCAATAATTGATTCAATAGTACTTTTAAATATTTTTCACCAACTCAAAACCCCTGTGCCAAGCATTCTCGTGAATTTCAGCATGCAAAGGCCACAATAAACTGATTTTAATAAAAAAATAGAATAAAGGAAATAAACATACCTCAAAAGCATCAAGGTCATCAAACGTGTGAACACTTATATTGGCAACTAAGGGAAACAAAGCTCTTCTGAACCATCTTTGCATTGTAGATTCGACAGAACCTATATTGAAGAAATATATGGGTTTATCTTAGACAATGTAGAAGTCTTATAACTGAAAACAGAGTGAAAAATGTGCTAATGCATTTGTGCCAAAGCACATTTCAAAGCCATTAAATGAGTGGTACCCTCAGCACAATAAATATAATTCAAAAAATAAAACTATCATTATCAAGGCAAAATTTTTGCTGTTGAATGAACCTTTCTGGACATCTGCATTATTATTCTAACAAATATTAACCTTAGCTCTTAAGATTTGAAACTTTTCTTACTCAATTTGTGACATGTCAAAAAATAACCTATTGAAACTATGAAAGATTTTTAGAAGAAACAGTTTACGTGTATTGCCATCTTAAGATCACAACAGAGACCTCTTACAATGTATAAAAGATAATGCTTGATGATTAGCTAGAAGAAAAACCATGAAATCTTGAACGCAGCATCAGATATTAATATTGGAAAGATGAACTCTAGTCAAATTTTAAATTTAGATGGAACAATGGTTACAAGTAGAAGAAGGTGAATCTCAGTAAGAAAGTCGTGAAAGTTAGCATATTGTGTTTGGATAATTGAAATAATGAAGAGAAGATTAAAAGTAGGAAAATTGCTAACCCTAAACCCTATTTATCGCTTAAGCAAAGGTCTCAAGCTGTGTTTGATAAGCCTTGCAAAGTTCTTATTGAAGTTGCTCTTCTGGTGCAACCAAAAAAATATCATTAGGATTGCAAATTAAAAGTCTTCCTTACCATAAACATAGACAAATACATATATAATATCATAATACTAGAATACAACAACTTATCACTTATATAGAAGAAAGATACATATGGGGTGGGAACCATGGATAGAGAAGAAGATGTAGAAGACCAAGACAAAATAGTAGAGGGAAAAGGGAACTTCGGCGGGGGGGGCGGGGCGCCGAAGCAACAACACAGCTACCAAGGATGGAGAAACCGAAGCACCAAGGGGGGGAAACCGAAGCATCCAGATAGCAACCAAGGAACAGCTTGATTGCATCAATTATCCACATGTGGAGAATCCTCATCTCCTGATGAGTTTGTCTACATAGAAGGCTGACTTTCACCATCTACAGACTCCTTTGCATCTTGAGGTGGAACTTCGGCCTGTTGAGTGTTTAGCTTTCCTTTTTTTTTTTTTTTTTTTGAAAGAAAGGAAGACATGACCTATAACCTAAAGTTCTGATACCAAATTGGTGCAACCAAAAAATTTCATTAGGATTGCAAACTAAAAGTCTTCTTTATCATAAACATAGACAAACACATATATAATATCATAATACTAGAACAAAACAATTTACAACTTATATATTAAGAGAAGAAAGATACAGATGAGGCTGGAACAAAGGATAGGGAAGAAGAGGTAGAAGAACGAGACAAAATAGTAGAGGGGAAAGGGAAAGGAGGCTAGCTCACAAGCTAGAACAAACCCATAGGTTTATATTCTAAAAATCATCACACATCCTACCTAAATATGCCATAAAACAACCCCATTTATAGCGGAAAAAAAATTTAATACATATAGTTAATGCACCTCCTAAACAGCCAATAGGAACACCTAGAAAACTGCAGCAAACATGGACCAAAGGGACAGCCGCTAAGGGGAAAAAATGAAGTATCCACATAGCATAAGGGGGGGGGGGGACCGAAGCAACAACAAAGCTACCAAGGAGGGGAAACTGAAGCACCAGGGGGGGAAAACCGAAGCATCCAGATAACAACCAAAGGACAACTTGATTGCATTAATTCTCCCCAAGTGGAGAATACTCATCTCCTGATGAGATCGACTGCATAGAAGGCTGACTTTCACCATATGCAGACTCCTTTGCATCTAGAGGTGGAACTTCTGCCTGTTGAGTGTTTAGCTTCCCTTTTTTTTTGAAAGAAAGGAAGACATGACATATAACCTAAAGCTCTGATACCAAATTGGTGTAACAAAAAAATTTCATTAGGATTGCAAACTAAAAGTCTTCCTTACCATAAACATTGACAAACACATATATAATATCATAATACTAGAACACAACAACTTACAACTTATATATTAAGAGAAGAAAAATACATATGAGGCGGAAATCGCAGATAGAGAAGAAGAGGTAGAAGACCGAGACGAAATAGTAGAGGGGAAAGGGAAAGGAGGCTAGCTCGCAAGCTAGAACAAACCTCATGCTTATATTCCAAAAATCATCACATATCCTACCTAAAATTGTCACAAAACAACCCCATTTATAGGGGAAAGAAAGAAATAATAATAATTAATAAATGTAGTTAATGCACCTCCCAAACAGCCAATAGGAACACCTAGAAAACTGAAGCAAACAGGGACCAAAGGGACAGCTGCTAAGGGGGAAAACGAAGCATTCACATAGCATAAAAGGGGGGGGGGGAGGGATCGAAGCAACAACACAGCTGCCAAGGAGGGAGAAATCGAAGCACCAAGGGGGGGAAGCCGAAGCATCCAGATAGCAGCCAAGGGACAGCTTGATTGCATCATCTTCACATTAGCACAACAGATAACTCCATCTATCAAACACATCATTTAACTATGTTATAATGGCCATCTATATAGATAATGTTCTCCCAACAAGAAGTGATCAAAAAGAGATTATTAAAGTAAAATAATATCTAAAAAGTATTTTCTAACTGAAAAATCTAAGTTGTCTTAATTACTTTCTAGAAATTGAACTGTTTCATATCCAAGGACTTTCTATCTAAAAAAAAAATGCTTTTGACCTTAAAGAAGTTGATCCTTAAGAATGCAAACCCATTAATACTCACATTGACACAAAAAATGTTGTCAATAATGAGAAAAAAATTTCAGATGCCTCTTAGTATTGGAGTTTAGGTGATAAATTGATATAACTTACTATCATCAAATCAAATGTCTCCTACTAGTAATGTTTTGTGTCAACACACGCAAGAACTCAAACATTAATATGGGGAAGCTATTTTGTGTATCCCCAAGTATATAAAAAACTCACCTGTAAAAGGACTATTATTCACTAAAATTAAAAATCTTAATTTAGAAGCTTTTTTTTTATAGCTACATTGGATCAGTTGGTGATTGAAAATTTACATTTGGATATTGCATATTTACAGGAGGTAATATGGTCACTAAAAAGGTAAGAAACTGCTAGTGATGGCCAAATCAAGCATTAAGATAGAATACAGAGCCAAGACACAACTCTACATGTCAAATGATGGGTTAAGGCACTCCTAGGACAATTTGATTTATATATAACACAACCTATGACATAAATTGTGACAATCGTATTGTTATCTATATTGGCAGTAATATTGTTTATTTGTTATCTATATTGGCAGTAATTTTGAATTCCATGAAAGAAAAAACACATTGAGGTTAATTGAGATTGTGTTCAGGACGCAGTGCTATAAAAAAGATTGTTAATTTTCATGTTTTTAGATCATAATAGCTCGAAAATGGTGGTTAATTATCACTTTTTTTGCATGTGGTTAAATCAAAGAAGACTGTTAATTTTCATGTTTTCTACTCAGAACAATAAGCAAATATATTTATCAAGGTTTTGGGTCCACTTCAATTTTTAAGCTATGCAACAACTTAGTGCTAAATGATATATATGCTCTAGCTTTAGGGGGAGTGTTAATATAGGATGTATTGTTTTAGAAAACTACCCATATATATAGTTAATAGAGTATGTTTATTCCATTGTACTTTGGCAAATTGTACTGATTCCTCTATTATAAAAGAGGGGTTCCCAGTTGACCAAGACATCAAAATCTCTTTCCCCTCAAGAATTTTCAAAAACCTTGGAAACAGAAAGAAGATCTTTGCAAGCATAAAGGCATTATAAATACAAGGACTTGATCTCTGCCTTCATTTGATGTTCCATCATACACAATAAATCGCCCACGTTCAAAAAATGTTTGCATTTAGGTTTCAAACATTATGCAAAAAAAAAAACACTCAAACAACATAAAGGATAGGGACTCAATCAACAGCCAAATCAGTCAAAGCTTAATCAATCAAAATATGTGAACGAAATTAGAGTACTTGTCAATGAATATATTCCAATTATTAGTATACGTCAAGTGAAGTTGGGTTTATTTGTTCAATTACTATGCCAGCAAATCCCATAAGCTCACATATGTAAACTATTGATTAATCCATATTTTAAAATTCATTTGTATGACCTATCTACACTGAGAAAACACTGCTTTTTCCAGTTTAGTCTACTTGACCTTGCATAACCAGAGTTAGATATAGGGTCACCAGGACGACCAATTGTATGCCCATCTATTTTGTTTTAATAATTGTAAAGAAAAGTAAAAGAATACTTTAGGATCAATATTCAAATTCTAGCATACCTTGATCATATGTAGCTCCATAATGTCCCCTACCAATGGATGACAACATTTGCAAGAAATAGTGGTTGCAATATGTACCTGGAAGCTTTCCCACATACAACATATTAGAAGTAGCCGCATGGAAAACAAACAAGTAGGACAGAATGGAAAAATAGAGGGTAGGAGTGTAGGACATGCAATAACAAACTTTAATGTAAAAAAACCGAAGGGATCACTCAAGCACAGTAAAATCAGGCTAAAAAAAAGGATGAAGCAGATGGGGAAAAAAACAAAGAAACAAACAAAAAAGAACAAAGAAAATCTGTATTTAGTAAAAAAAATGGTCTAGAGAACTAGAATACAATATCCCAAGGCTACATGATAATTTTCATCAATATTAAAAAATGCAAATCATGAAATTATTAAAAAAAAAGAAAGAAAAACTCTAGAGAAATATGCATTAAGCATAGAGCTCATTAAGTGCACAGGAAGATTTCAAGCATTAGCCTCAATTGACAATGTAACTTAAGGTACCAAAGGGGTTGGGTTTGTAATCATGAAATTATAGCAATCAACTAGATGTGATTTCAGTGCCATCAGACCTACTACAGTAGTTCCATGACTTGGGCGCAAACCCAACACAAGGCCGGTTCAGCTTGACAAATTGATTGAGCAACCTATTAAAAGCATTCCAAGAATCACCAAAAGAGAGATTTAACATAGAAAGAAGTATAAACTTGGATAGGTATGTCTATTATAAAGTGTGATAGCAATCTAGCTTAGCCCAAAGATACTAGTATACTGATTGGGAGAAGTTGGTAGTGTTGCATCCTACCAAAAGATAGATTTAAACTAGTTTATATTCTGGGCAACATAGGAGATGAAAACATTAGAGTTTATATTCATAAAAAATGCAGGATGTTTGAGAGATATAATTTAGTTAATAGTTTTAAAGTTACTTAAAACGTTTTTTATTTCGTAGATATAATTTAGTTAGTGTATACATGATTATGATGATGATCCCTATAGAGAAAAGGTTGTGTTATCGAATGCCTGTGTAGATCTAGTCACTTCACTGTTAGTTTTCTGGTATAGCAGTTCCTTCATTGGTTACTTCTTGCTAGGTCAGGTAATTATATTCGAATTTCAATTCACAAAACAACAACATCAAGCCTTCGTCCTACTACGTGGGGTCGGCTACATGAATTCTTTTTCTCTATTGTGTCGTGTTAAAAGTAAAATTCTCATTTAAATCTAATAAAGAAACATCATTTCTAATATTTTTTAACCAAGTCTTTTTAGTTCTACCTCTACCTTTCTTAACATAAATCAACTCTAATACCTTTACTTTCCTAAGTGGGTCATTGGAAAGCCACCATTTTATTTGACCAAACCATCTAAGGCGACTCTCTCTAATCTTATCTTCCATTGGATCTCGCGAGCCCATTAACGAGCTGGCTCGGCTCACTTACACCCCTAGCTCCACTATCCACCTTCTAATGCCTGATCTTCCCCTTAACCTTTATGGTGTAGTTCGGTGTGAATCCGACCACTTAGTTAAGAGATACCTCTATAACATCTAAGTACAGGTGGTCATCTCCCTCCTCTACTTTCTCCTTTGTAGCATCTTTCACCTCATCACGGAATATTAGGGTCTGTAATGAACGGTCCTTCCAATGGTGGCCAGGAGCTAACTTCTCATCACACCTAAAGCATAAACCCTTGGCCCTCTTCTCCTGAATTTCTGACTCAGTCAACCTTTTGAAGTTCACCCCTAGTCATACTCCCTAACATGTATCCCTCGTGGCTTCCATCTGAATAGGCACTGTTTGCACCTTTGGTGCCAAAAATATAGTGGTTGTGCGGTAGGAGACTCTTGAACTACTTCTATAGCTATTCATATCCAAGGAGTTCTTATCCTCCACCAATCAGGCTAACTTCATAGCCTCTCCTAAGCCACGTGGTCTCAATACTCGAACAGTTGCTCGAATATCAGGCTTGATCCCCTTCATAAAGTTTATCTCCAGCACAATCTCTAGCAACCTTCCCAATCGGCTTGAGAAGTACTAAAACTTCGCTCGGTACTCTATCATCATCCTCTCCTGCACCAAAGCTAAGAATTGTTTATAGAAGTCTCCTTCCTAACTAGTTCGGAAACTTTCTGATAACAGTCTTTGAACTCCCTCCATGATCAGATTGGATCTCACAAGTCCCTCCACTGGTATCAGGACAGAGATTCCCCTCAAGACAGAGTGGCTGCGGTGAGTTTTTCATCTTATGTCAACCTATTTACTGCAAAATATTGTTGCATGCTATAAATCCACACATTAGCATCTTCTCCTTCAAAAACTGACATCTTCAACTTTCTCACCCTAAGATCGCCACCGCACTAATTGCTTCTTTCTCCTCCAATATAGTGGGTGTTATGATCAGTGATCCCTCCATGTTTCCCTCTCCCCCAAATCAGCTCTCTAATCTTCACTATCCAAATTTCTTTATCAGTTATACCATTTGTGGGCTCCAAAAATTCGTGTCCCGGCCACTCCGCGACCCCTTTCTTTTTCTATCGTGCAGCGAGGAGAGTTTTAATGAGTTTAGGTTCCGAAATAAATTTTAATAAAGCATATTGGATTTTTAGATAAAACAATACCCATAGATTTTGTCCTCATTTTGCTAGGACTTTATGATCTGAGTTCTGGTTTCCTATAAGCTAATACAAGTCCCTATAATTAATTACCCCTTACGATAATGAGAGAGAACTTTTGATTAAGGCTGTCCATTGAACAGATATGTAGTATTCAGCGTATAGCAACAGAATTAGATATTAAAAATAAAAAATTTAGCACCACACACTTAAAGCGAATGATAGGGGGAATGATGAACCTGATCAAAATCTCATAGTTCCATTATCCGGGGTCATCATGTTCTCTAGTCTACTTAATCAGAGGAGGTAGTCGGCCCAACGTGACCAAAGGATACTTGTCGACAATAATGAGTAACTTTGTACAAGAGTATCTTATATACTTTGAGTGAATGTTTGCTTAAGGGGACATATTTGAGTCCATATTAGCTAACAAAGGGACATGTGCCCTATCGATTCTACCATATTGATTCATTACTCAAAAATTTAGAGTCGTTGGGGAACATAAGGGCTCTGGCCATAACCACAATTTAGTGATGTCATTTGGCAATAAAACCACTAGGTCAAAAGGTCTCGATCATAATCATTTATCTATGGTGTCATTTGGCGGCGAAACAACTGGTTAGAAGACACGTGACATATCCTTACTAGTAGGAAATAGTTTGAGAATGAATTTTAGTGATATTCTCAACTAGACATTCACTCTTTATGAGCTGAAGTGATTTTTAAATTTGTCTACCTCGACAAACTGTTGCAAAATGTGGATGAAATTTTACTTTTAAGTATTTAGGTGATTTATTTCAATTATATATTTTGAATTTTTGAAGAGCAATAGATTTAAAAATTTTATTTAAACTTAAACCCCGAATAATTAACTTTGAGAATTGGGTGCATTTTTTTTAAATTTGTATTGATCCCTTTGTTTGAGATTTACATTCAACACAACCATCATTAGGGTGATTTTGAAATCACTTTAAATGTTTGTATTTTCATGCGTTTTTTAGACATTTAAAGGTATGATCCCCTCTGGTTGAGATTATCTTTCAACACGACTATCATCGGGGCTAATTTATTGGTATTGTCATTTCATTAGTCGAACATTGTCATTTCAAGCAAATAGAGGATCGAATTCAACCCTAATTTTTGGAGTTATTGTATAGATATCAGAATCAGGGGTATTTATTTTAATGTGTGAATTTTCTTTGTAAGAGACCTTAAGGCTTAATATAAACGTATAAAATTAAATCATTCGGTTAACTTCAATGAGTGTCAGTTCTAAATAATATACCTTGAAAGTCTAATATGAACGTATACACAAAAAATAGTAATAATGAAGAGAAAATGCTGCAAAAATCAGCAAGAAATAATATTATTATGGGCTAATTTTATTGATATTGGCACAATAAATCAAGATACAAGTTGATTTATTATTCAAGAGGTAAATCGACTCTCCACAAACCTTAAGTGCCGCTAGGAATAACTGATGCGGACATCAGTACGAAGATTTGGCGCATCTATCACAGGAAGCGTCGTAATTCGACGGCTCTAATTTAAATTGTCATTTATGAGTTATTTTATGAATTTTAGCTCTTAGTTTAAGTTATTTCCTGTTTTACCCCTAGGTTAGCTTATTTGAGTGTTGTGGCCCAAGACGCAATTTTATAATTTTGATTTTTCTCATGTTGTGATCTATATATAGGGCCTTAAGCTATTGTAATAGGGATGAAGAATTGAAATTAAAAATTGGTGTTCCACACTTGTGTTCTTTTTGAGAGAGGACGAAAGTGAGATTTCTATGGAGAGGAATCGGAGTCTTCACCAGCCGCAGGATGGGTCCGGGCTCGTGAATTGAAGTCCCTTGGAGAAGGGCAAAGCATCACCCGTCAGTCTTCGGAAGAGTCTTGTTATTTTATCTCTTTCGTTTTTATCTCTTCTTTAAATTGTTTTTGTTCCATCGTTCTTCCTTCTCCCCATCTTCGTTTGGCCGCTGGATTCTAACCTCACCCGAAACCCCATCTTTTTCCCCCATGATGGTAATCTTCAATATCTTCATGACTTTCCATAATTCACCCTACGAGAAATTAGAAAGGATTTGATTCAAATTTGAAATTCAAATTTTGAATTTCAATTCTTTCCAAATTTGGAAATTCTTATTTAGGAAAGTGTTATGCATGATTCAAATTTAAATTCAAAGAGTTTGGATTTAGTCATAACCTTCCTAATACATTTTTCTTCTTTGAAAACTCCCCAAACCTTGCCCAAATCCCCTCCCTCTCTCTTTACATGCCGCCAGCCACCATGGGGTTTTCCTCCCATTAATTCCTCAATTAAAGCATGAATGGCATCTTAATTTGAAATCAAATTTCAAATTAAATTCTCCCCAATTTCAATCAAAACTGAAATTAAATTCAGATTTTGAAAATTCCAAAATTCAAATCAATGAGCCTTAAATTTCCACACTAATTTCTCCTTGGTTCTTGCTTGGCCGAAACCCCCCTCATGCCCCACCTCTTGATTTCTTTCCTAAAGCCTGACCTGGAATTAAGAAACAAACCCACCTCCAATTCCATACACAGCCGGCCCCCTCTCATTCATTAACTCTAGCTCTTTGGGAAAGAACTCCCAAATCTGAGAATTCCCAAAATCTCAGGGAATTAAAGCACCATTTAATTCCTTATCCCTCCACGTGAAATCCCTTCTAAAAGCTACCGCCCCCCTCTAAAGAAAATAATTTGAATTTATTTCCCTAACTCATTTCACAGAATTAAGGAGTTGAATTCCCTCAGCCTCCCTTGGATCCCGCCGCCCCTTCTCCTCTCTCTCTCTCCCCATTCTCCTTTTCACCTCCACTTTCCTATTGGGCTTAATTTTCCAGCAACCAGAAATTTCAAGCCTTTAATTACTTCCCAAATCTGGGAGGGGAATAAGGAAATAATCCCCCTAGTTCTCCTCTCTCCCGTTAATCTGTCCAGAGATTCCCGTAGCAGTACAAGGTTGCTGTCCAAATTTCTGAAAGCTGTTAAACTGTTGTCCATCAGTTTTTCTGCAGCTCCACACTAACTGGCCAGCCCCAAAATTCAATCTGTTGTTGTCCAGACTTCTCCTAGTTGCTGTTCCACCTCTTGCTAAGAAGATTTGGAACGTGAATTTGCTGATCTGGAAGAGGAAAACTGTTGTCCACCATTCTTCTTCAACCCTTGGAAGACCTCTAGCTGCTGTGTTGGAATCAGAGTTGCTGTCCAAATAACCTTAGATCCTCTCTCCTTAGCAGAGCCGTCCTACCCGTTCTACATCAGCTTGGTATCAGAGCATGGACTCGGATCGACTTGGAAGGACTTTAAACTGGTTGGTAGGTCAAATGGGCACCATTAGCCAACATCTCAAGGAGAATCAAGCGGACTTAGCCGACCTCCACCGTCAAACAATCGAACGATTCGATAACCTAGAGCGAGGTAGGACTGACCCACCGTTTTACACAAAACTCCCCGCATCAAAGGATAGAAAAAAGGCACTAAGAGACAGAGAGAGAGTGGATAGAGTGGACAAATGGTTGGAGGCCAATGAAGCCTTCAATTTTCCACTCGCTGTGCAAATCAAAGAGAAATCTAAGGTGATCAAGGAGGAATATGAAGAAGAAGATGAATTGGTTGATTCAATTACAACTCCTACAAAAGCAAAAGTTTCTTCTGACCACGTTAAAACTCCTACAACGGAGAAGGTTGATGAAGCTCTGGAAGTGATATCCATAGAACTTAATATTGCTCCTATTGCTTGTGAAGCCATCTATGAGAGTGAACAAGTTCCTGCACGGGAAAAGAAGTGCGACAGTCTGGAAGGTGATCCCTTGATTATGGTTAAGGAACTTGGCGAGCTAAAGTGCAACAAGCAAGTTGACCTTGTGGGCAACCGGAGTGGTTTGAAAATCCTTGCAAATAACAGTCCGGAGTTGTACATGAGCAGTTGTGATGCTAACTCGACGGAGTCGAGTATTCTCACACCTAAGGAGAATGATGCGGACATCGGCATAAAGATTTGGCGCATCTATCACAGGAGGCGTCGTAAATCGACGGCTCTAATTTAAATTGTCATTTATGAGTTATTTTATGAATTTTAGCTCTTATTTTATGTTATTTCCTGTTTTACTCCTAGGTTAGCTTATTTGAGTGTTGTGGCCCAATGAGCAATTTTGTAATTTTGATTTTTCTCATATTGTGGCATATATATAGGGCCTTAAGCTATTGTAATAGGGATGAAGAATTGATATTAAAAATTGGTGTTCCACACTTGTGTTCTTTTTGAGAGAGGACGAAAGTGAGATTTCTATAGAGAGGAATCGGAGTCTTCATCAGCCGCAGGATGGGTCCGGGCTCGTGAATTGAAGTCCCTTGGAGAAGGGCAAAGCATCACCCGTCAATCTTCGGAAGAGCCCAAGGCTCGCGGTTTTTGTTATTTTCTCCCTTTCGTTTTTATCTCTTCTTTAAATTGTTTTTGTTCCATCGTTCTTCCTCCTCCCCATCTTCGTTTGGCCGTCGGATTCTAACCTCACCCGAAACCCCATCTTTTTCCCCCATGACGGTAATCTTCAATATCTTCATGACTTTCCATAATTCACCCTACGAGAAATTAGAAAGGATTTGATTCAAATTTGAAATTCAAATTTTGAATTTCAATTCTTTCCAAATTTGGAATTCTTATTTAGGAAAGTGTTATGCATGATTCAAATTTAAATTCAAAGAGTTTGGATTTAGTCATACCTTCCTAATACATTTTTCTTCTTTGAAAACTCCCCAAACCTTGCCCAAATCCCCTCCCCTCTCTCTCTACATGCCGCCGGCCACCATGGGGTTTTCCTCCCATTAATTCCTCAATTAAAGCATTAATGGAAGTTCCCCCCAATTTCAATCAAAACTGAAATTAAATTCAGATTTTGAAAATTCCTAAATTCAAATCAATGAGCCTTAAATTTCCACACTTATTACTCATTGGTTCTTGCTTGGCCGAAACCCCCTTCATGCCCCACCTCTTGATTTCTTTCCTAAAGCCTGACTTGGAATTAAAAAACAAACCCACCTCCAATTCCATACACAGCCGGCCCCCTCTCATTCATTAACTACAGCTATTTGGGAAAGAATTCCCAAATTTGAGAATTCCCAAAATCTCAGGGAATTAAAGCATCATTTAATTCCTTATCCCTCCACGTGAAATCCCTTCTAAAAGCTACCGGCCCTCTCTAAAGAAAAGAATTTGAATTTATTTCCCTAACTCATTTCACGGAATTAAGGAGTTGAATTCCCTCAACCTCCCTTGGATCCCGCCGCCCCTTCTCCTCTCTCTCTATCCCCATTCTCCTTTCCACCTCCACTTCCCTATTGGGCTTGATTTTCCAGCAACCAGAAATTTCAAGCCTTTAATTACTTCCCAAATCTAGGAGGGGAATAAGGAAATAATCCCCCTAGTTCTCCTCTCTCCCGTTAATTTGTCCAGAGATTCCCGCAGCAGTACAGGATTGCTGTCCAGATTTCTGAAAGCTGTTAAACTGCTGTCCAGCAGTTTTTCTGCAGCTCAACACTAACTGGCCAGCCCCAAAATTCTATCCGTTGCTGTCCAGACTTCTCCTAGTTGTTGTTCCACCTCTTGCTAAGAAGGTTTGGAACGTGAAATTACTGATCTGGAAGAGGAAAATTGCTGTCCACCATTCTTCTTCAGCCCTTGGAAGACCTCTAGCTGCTATGTTGGAATCAGAGTTGCTGTCCAAATAACCTTAGATCCTCTCTCCTTAGCAGAGCCATCCTACCCGTTCTACATCAATAACTCAAAAGAAAACTACTGTAAAACACAAAAACCCCATAATGAAAATAAAATAATTTAATTAATCCTAAATAAACCTTCCTAATTCTCTCCCAAATCTGAATTCAAATCAGTCATCTTTCCCTAAATAAACCTTCATAATTCCCTCCCAAATCCGAATACAAATCATCCCTCTTTTCCTAAATAAACCTTCCTAATTCCCTCCCAAATTTGAATTAAAATCAACCATCTTTCTCTAAATAAACCTTCATAATTCCCTCCAAACTTTGGGTTTCTATGGTAATTAATTAAAATTAGAATTAATCCCCTTTGAGCCCCCCTCTCTCCTTGCCCGCTACCCACACTAATGGGGCCCACAGGGCTCTTCCACCCACTAGCTAAACCAGCCCTCCTTGTCGGGGTCGGGTTGATTGGCTGGACTGGCTCAGCTTGTTCATCACATTCCCCTACTGTCTACTCCATGATAACGGCAACACATTATTCTCCCCAAATCAAATTATTGCTATTAAGCATAGCATCGTAGAGCCTATTAACTAGCCTTAATTGAAGATGTTCTCATGTGATAGAGAAGATTAATTAACCATAAGAGCTTTCTCCTCCAGCGAACCTCAACGCTAGATCTTGAAATTCACATTAGAGCATGAAATATCATAGTAGCGTCTAATCTAAAAAACTAATTAGTCTTCTAAAAATTTAACCCATAAAAATTATAATATAAAGAAGCTTTGTTTAAAATTGTGCAATAAGAGGCGCGCCTCTGCGCAATTTGACCAAAAAATGCCTCGAGGCTTACGCAATTCCTCACCTGGCAGAGGCGTACGCCATTAGAGCATGAAATATCATAGTAGCGTCTAATCTAAAAAACTAATTAGTCTTCTAAAAATTTAACCCATAAAAATTATAATATAAAGAAGACAATAGGGTATTCTCAAAAGCCCACAATCGTACATAAATAGACTTTTCTTGGGAGATAGTTGGGTCACAACAAAGATTGGGCCCTTGAAATGTGCATTGAAGGTTTGGTTTCACTTCATGTAGGACGGTTAGAAACATAAAAGTGACCAGGCCCAGGCTTGTGCAGGAGGCTTCATGTTTATTTTGGGCGATTTGCACAAGGCTTGGCTCGGAGGTTCCATATTAATCTTGGATGGTGTACCAACCTGCTAGTTTAGAGATCCAGTTCTATGATTGTAAGAGAAGATGATAATAATCTAAGGATGGCTAAAAATCACGCAAACAATGGAAAATCAATTGGACATAAGGTGGCAAGAACTAATGCCATTAAATTATGAAGGATCATATTTTCGAACGAGGGAATTTGTAGTAGACCCCTAGACAACAGTGAGCGTTACCCTACCTCTTTAAACTTTTGTACCCACTGCGCACTATTCAATTCTTTCTGACAAATAAGAAATACAGGTTCTGCCAAAATTTGATTTATTCGAATAACCATATAGTGAGCTTACAAATTTACAAAAAGTATTACAGGAACATATTATTCTGGAGCTGGTTGCAGGAGAATTGAAAACTTTAAAGTACAGCTAAATATCTCATGATGTTGCCAACATTGCTTGTGGGAAGGGGTGCTAAAGCATACAAAAACAACAAATGTGGGGATTAAAAATCGTTACCAATGCCAAATGTGCATATTCTTGGCGTTATGGGGCCTCTATTTTCTATACAAGTTTTAACAGCACGGCATATTGCACGTTCGTTCTCGACAGCACCATCAGTGACAAGAAAAACATATGGGACTGAGCCTTTCCTTGCATTAGATAATAAAGCCAGAGCCTGGAAACAAACAAGACTATTATAAGGGATGTACCATATTATATATGCTGGATTTAGCAGAATTTATCAAAAAAAAAATCAAAAGAAAAAAGATGCACATAAATGTAACATGAAATTTTTTTTTCTGTCAAACATGACAGACGCTTTCTAGTAGACGCAAACTAATTATTACTAATGATAGCTAAAAACACAACACCCAGATGGTAATTAAGTATGGAACAGAAAGACACATACCTCATTAAGTGGCTGCATCATATTTGTCCCGCCATGTGCTACAAAATTTTTGCTTATCCAATGTTTAGCATCTTCTAATTTGTCATCATTTGCTGGTTCCATATATGATGAAAGAGTGAAAGTTCTTTCATTGAAAGCTATTATGTTAAAATAATCTGCTGGAACAAGCTCTGAGAGGGCTAAAAACAGTGCATTCCTAACATGTTCAAGAACCTTCCCTTCCATGCTTCCACTTATATCGACAAGGAAAACTACTTCCTTTCTGAAGACCTTTTGCAGAAACCGAGTGAGACTTCAGATATTAAGCAACAAATTGCTAATTACAAAAGGTCATATTTGAAACTAAGATATTATTTGAATAACTTAATTAACAAAATTGTAATATTAAGTGCACGGGTAAAAAATTTTAGGTGCGTGCTGGTTACTGGCAAGAACATGCAGTATTAAACAAAAAAATAAAATAAAATATTCCCTATTGATCCATAAAAATAAGATGCCACCGAGTTAGATTCCTCTAAATCATTTGATAGTAAAAAATAAAATATTCGGAAATATAAAGCAGTCAGAAAAATATATTACAAGCTTAAAAAAATTGTTCGAAAAGGATGCCGCCATAAGAAGGTTTTGAAGTTTTAAAGTGAGCACCTTAAACATAACTTAGAAAAATGAATAAAAAATGAGAATCATAAAATCAACCTCAAATATTTGGGATATGGCTAATGATGATGGTGAAACATAACGGTAAAATATCAAAATAAGAATTCTTAAAGTTCTCCCATAATGTTTAAGATAGAAAGAATCGAGGTTGACAAAAAGAAAATTTAGTGATCGATAATGATCAGAATGATGCTGTTTAATTTGTGAAACTAGTGATTTCTAATTAAATATCCCTCTAATATCAGTGGGGTAATAGCCCATGATTATATGAAATTTAAAATTAGATTTACAAGTACATAAGACCAGAAGAGCGGAGTGGGAGATACCTTTCTTTTCTGATGATTTCCTGGATATAGGTAAAGGCAGAACATATTTGTCTGATCATAGTCTTGGAATGATGGTGTTTTTAAGAGTATGCCTCCATAAAAGTCTCTTGAGATGATCTGAAAAGATTTAAGATCCTTCTTTAAATAAAAAATGCTGAATAAGAAATTCAAATGCAGTTATGCTTTGGGGTACAAAATGTACTGGAGACCAGGAAAGAAAAAAAAAATTCTTCCTTGAATGATAGTTTAGGCATTCTCATCAAAATTAAATTAAAAATGATTCGTCTTTTTATGATAAAAATTAGAAGAAAAAAAAAGGAATTTAAATTTACTCCAAAGTGCCATAAGGCACGTAGAGGAATTATAGCAAAATAGGGATCTACAAAGAAAGAGAGATAAAATAAAAGGAAAAAAAATGCATAGTGAATCCTTAAGATGTTGATGTTGTTCCTCAAAACATTAAGTGATCAAATCCTCAAAGCAATAAACAAGGAAATCAAACAAGAGTTACACATATTTTTCATTGAACTCGTCATCATTTGATTTTATGAAGAATAAGTGGATTTCATAGAATTATTCTAACAACTAAATGTCTAGACAAAATCAAAGCTTATTACAATATAATCATCATGAAAAGGGAATAAAATTTGCTTCCAAACAAATTTAAAATCAAATACGATAGCAACAAAAACAAGCCTTTATCCAACTACATGTGATTTTTCTAGATCATCAACAATTGGTGAACAAATGATTGAATGCATCAATCAAGCTCCCTGGTAAGACTCCACCCACCTGAATTCTCTATAAGTAGTTGAGCTTTGACGTCATTGCATTTAATCTCAGCTAGGGAATCCTAATGGCCCTCTCTTCTCTTTCTCTATCTTAGATCAAACTACTTGATGATGCCCTTGTTGTGTGATTACAACTTTGATGTTATCTGTTATCCAATCGTTGTTGATAAAATTGATTTTCTTTGTATATTTGCATTTTAAATAGTTTATCCAGGATCGAAAAATTTGATGTGTACATGATTGAAGAATTTAATTTTCTGACGAGAAGGAACCACCATGATGACAAAACTTCAACAGCATATAAAAGTTTAGCTGGTGCTGCTACACTTATATGCATGGAAATTCTAATGAAAAGAGCCTGTCATAGACTCTTGGTGGATATAATAAATTGATGCAAAAGAAGACTAGAGTCATACACTATATGAGAAATCAAAATCTTTAGTTGACCAGTTTTCAACGTCTGCTTCATACAGGAATGATAACTTCCCTGCTTGCCGACCCTTTTCCTGGAGATAATGATAAGACATAAGCAACATGTCATTCAAATGCAAACATAATATAAATCGGTAAGAATACTTGTCTAAAAATGGAACTCAAACACTGTTTCAGAAGCATTCACCTTTAAAGCATGGCTTGCTTTCTTGATCATAACTTCATTTTCATTACAGATATTCACATTAAGCTGTATCTTTTCTCGTTTTGCAACTATTTTTGCAAACGGAGTTACAAACTCTGGAAAATTGAATGGAATGCTAATTGAGAAATGGCCATCTTTGTACAATAATTTCTGAGACCAACTGACAATAATGGATATATCACATCCTCCATCAACCTTAAGATGATAAAGGGCTTCAGTTAGATCAGAAGGAACCCAGGATCTTATGAAGCAGATGAGAAGAAAAGGAAGACCTAAAAACAACTTGCCTGAGGGATCGTTAAGGAAAAAAAGAGGGACTTCAAATATCCCGCGTGTTCATTATTTGGCAATTTCTCCATGCTTTGGCTACTGCCTCTCTCAATCAGCTGGGTAGAGTACGATCTTTTGGCAAAATTCACCTCTACACCTAGAATTGAACCCTGTTAGCAAACCATGATAGCTTGAGAAAAACCAGTAAGCTCTCCAAAGATAAGCAAGTAAGCAACTAATGAATCAGACCAAAGAAAAAGGGGAAACCTAGACAATGTGCCAAGCAAATGGAGCAATGAGTATTTCAAGCAAGCGAATGTTGAAAACGTATTTAACGAACAATTGTAGTTGGAGAACAACCAACTATCTATCCAAAAACAGAGAAAATAAATGAATCAGTCGGAGAAAGAAAAAAAAAGGAAGGCTGCAAAGCAAAAGGGGCCATAATTATCTCCAACAAGCAAATGCAGAACACTGAATGAACAAACAAATGACGGGTTTGCATTAACTTTAGTATTAATCAGTTTCTCATGATTAATTTATGAGATAACATTCGTTTCTGATTATCCCAACTTGTGGGACGAATCAGCCATCTGTAATCTGCTAAATCACTAGTGAAACTTTACAACTGGGCGAGGCCCCGTGGTTTTTTCCCTTTTGGGGTTTTCCACGTAAAAACCTTGGTGTTCACTTTCTCTTTTCTGTTTGTGTGTGAAATACTCATGCAACGCTAGGACGCGAATTTACAAACTCTACCGCCGCGTATATTCTCGCACGCAACAATAACAAAGTGCATAAACCGATGTTTCATTTATAAAACTTGTCTAATGGGCCAAACTATGAATCAGAAAATTCTTTTTAACAATGTTCTTGAAACATTTTAATTCAAAATGTGAAAAACTCAGTTAACTTTACTGATTACTTTACACGGGAATCAGCCCTACAGGCTACATCCAAATTATCATTCCGCCCACAAGCTTTTAGAAGGAAAATCCACCAAGTACACGACGCTTACATCATATAACTTGCTCAATTGTGATAGTCCTCATCATACAAGCAACGGCACATAATCATTCATTCTAACTGTATACGCCCTCTAGGAATCTATCTAACAAGTAGAAAAAGACTTTAAAAAACCTATAATCCCTAAGCTACGAGGAATTACCTGCTCTCCCATGGGGAGCACGAGCCGGCAGTCACATTTCCGGCTACTCATCACGCAGTGAACCCGCCACCGCCCGCGGACGGATACAAAAGCCGTGTCTAGGTAGCTATCCACCTCCATCGCAATCTCCTTCATCTGGAGAGGAATCAAAGCCGGCGGATCGCACCGTCCATACACGTGCGGCTGGTAGCTCGGAAAATCCGGGTTGTCCACGATCGCCGGATCGCCAATCACTGCATAGACCATCGGCGCTGAAGGAATCAGAGAAGTCGGCGAACTCTCCATCCCAACCGGCGGCCTAGGTGGCGCCACTGTGTACCGGTCCTTGCCGGAATACACCCGCTTAGCCAGCCTCAGCCCGTTCTCAACGGATTTCGTGAACTCCTCTTCCATGTCTCAGGTAGAAACGTAAGTATCCGACTAGCCGCGGAGAATAGGAGGAAGTGTGAAGGCTCGAGAACGAGAAATGCAGAGAAATCCCAGAAGAGGAGTACGAGCTACGAAATGGAAGGAATCCGATACCGACCGCCACACGCGACCGGGTTCTGCCCGTATTTAACGACGCTTCGTATACGGACGTTTGTAGAGAATAAGAGTTGGTTGTGGTTGGATAACAGCTATTTTGTTGCGGACTTGAAGTTGAAAAAATTGGGTCTTATGATAATTAGTAGTTTTTATGTAAGGGATTTATGTAAATATCACTAATTGTTTATGTATTAGTATATCTAAATTTAAAATTATATTTATTTACATAATTATAATATCTAAATTAGTTTTGTTTTGGACCTGTTATGATGAGCACACAATGATAAAGTTGCTTTGGATTAATTGTAAATTTGAAAGATATGTTGAATAGTGTGGGTGAGATTATGCTTTAGCCATCTGTTGAAATGAGTATAGATATAAGCATGATGAAGATATTGATAACTAATAAACTAGTTTTATTTATTAAAATAAGAATAGTGTAATGATTAGTGAAGCAATGTGTAACACCTATCACACTTTAACTCAAGTAATTAATTTAATTTTGCTAAAGTTCTTGCTTAATCTTAATCTAGTCATCAATTATGAGCTCTGTTGTATCTTGTAACTTCAAATAGGAGTAGGATTTGAATTCAAAAAGATGAAATTATGAGTGGCCATAGCACTATGGTGCTTGGAGAGGCGGTGTCATGGCATTGTCTTTTTTTTTTGTCCGGGGTAAGGATTTGAACAAGCACGCGGTGCTATATGGCATTGTCACGATGCTCGGCTCTTAGGTTTGAGGAACCTGAGAGCATCTGACATATTTTATTGGAGCGCAGCGGCACTGATGTGGTTGTCCCCACGAAGTCATGCAAAAATGAGCATTATTTATATATGTAAATATCTCAAATCATTTTCCACTCACCTATGACAATCACCTTGCCATAGAAGGAAGAGGAAAATGAGAGGGACAGAGAAAAGGGAGAGAGGGATTCAAAGGCCAAAACTTGGGATTCGTCTGTCGTGCCAGTTAAGGATTTTGTAAAGCACAAGATAAGCTTTTGAACACCTATCTATGATTTTAATTGCAATCATTTTATAAAAATTTATGAAAGAAAATATATTTTTTCTTGAGTTTTACAACATCTTCATCGTGTAACTTTTATGTTTCATTATGAATGTTTTGGCTATAAGAAGATGAATTTATACACATTAGTTTTCTCTACGCTGATCATTTCTATGCATAATGGATAAATAAGGTATTTTGGATTCTCATGGTAGTCCTATAAAATGCTTAAAATACTATTTTGAATATTCATTTGAAATTTTAATTGAAAAAAAAGCAATTAAGCTTTTGTACGGTCACTATGAATCATTGTAGTCAATTTGGTACTTCATGCATCGTTGCAAATACATATTAAAGTCATAAGTACATATTATTGTATTCAAATTACATAACTCATGGCATGACGTTAGAGGAGTTTTGATTTCTGAAATGTGATAAATATATTGTATGAGATGATACAAGGGTCATATAAATTTTGTTTTAGCCCCGTCTGCTTTTGTATGGATGTGTGATGAATTTTGGCCCCACTTAATGAAAGTTAGTGTGGGAGGTTATTATGTTCTATTATGTTATGCTCTCTTCTAACCCCACTTATTATACTAGTTTTATTGCCCGTGCACAAAGTGCACGTTGCTAGAATTTAATTAATAAATATATATTATAAGAAGATCGAATTATTTTATGAAAAAAATTAATAAAATTTGTGCTGCCCAATTGATAGTGACATTAAATGTATGCAAATAAAATTTTAAAAATAAAAATTTATCTTATGAAAATTTTAATTAGATTTTTTGATTAAAAAATAAAGTTATTAATTTTATCTTTTTAAACAATTCTAATTATCAATTATACTAATGAAAAGTTATATGTTCGTCTTAAAATTATCATATAGAAAATATATTAATATAATTTTATAATTCAACATTAAAATACATATTTTTTATGTAGTTAAATTATAAGAAGTAGAATCTAAACCCAAAAATAAAAAAAAAGACTCTAAATTGCTATTGATTTATCCACTATGTTGGTGATCATACTCCAATCAGTAGCTTCAAATACTAACATTATAAAATTAAAATAGCTTGATTATCATAATCATAAGTCTACCAACCAGTCACGGGCATAAGTCTACTAACCAGTTACGAAAAATAACAGTTGTTAAGTGAAAAAAAGGAAAAATCCAACATTATCACCCTATAAAGGCATCTTTTTATATAAATAATATGATTCATAAGCATCACTCAAATCAGAAGACTTTATATTTGTAAATCTGAATCAAGCTTGAAGTTAAATGGGCGCTTAGTCTTATCCATCTTTCTAAAAGTAACATATATCATACAAAATTAAAAAAAAAAATTGCATTACGAATTCAAGATTGATGTATAATTGAAAATGAGGTTAAATTATGAAACCTTTTGTAGGAAACTACAGGAATACAATGCTTAGCAAGATCATCTCCATTGCCATTTAAGACAAGCACAGACCTGAATATTTGATATTTGAAGTTAAGAATCTAGATGTTAAAAAATTATCTATTATCCATATAAGAGTTTATTGTATAACTTATTAAAAAATATTAAAATATGAAAAGGAAGAAAAATAATAGCTTATACTTACCCAACTGGAAGAGGAATTGAAGCTGATCCAATGAATTCACCCGGTCCAACAATTTCTAGCTTGTGTCCAAACATTATATTACACTCGCTTAAAAATGACACGATAGAAAATGGCCTTACAAAATCATGACTATCAATATGAGGCGGTATGCAATCACCAGGTTCATATATATTAATAATGCAACTATCACCACATTTAATAAAACTTCATTTAATATTAACGTCACTCGAAAATTTTTTACCCTAAAGTTTTCGTTTCCTATTCTTATTCTGCAGCTTTCCGTTTCTGTATTCTTGTTCTGCTTATATTCACTCGCCATTGTTTTCATATTTTTTAAAGTGAATATATTTCTTGATTTGTTCATAGCCTCAAACAATACTCAAATCGCAAATCACGCTGATTTCCTTGTTTCAGTTTGTACGTCTTCGTCTTCTTCTTCTTTCTTTCCGTGCATAAAAAGGAATCAGGCATTTTATCCAATTATCAATTTTCATATTTAATTAGGTTGGTTGTTGGTTTATGAAACTTGTTGTTGTTTTAGACTTTTTTTGTTAATGCCTTCTTACTCAATAATATTAGATTGCTATTTTTAATGCTAATTTTTATTCTTTTCTGGTTTTTGAGTCTTGAAATTTATATAATATAATTAAATTATTTTTATGTATTTTAATTTTGGGCTAAGTTTTTAATCATTTGGGTGTTAGAACTTCGTGATATTTTACACATTAATTGTTTTATGAAATATCTTTTTTTTTTAATGCTTGTGGAATTGTGCTATTTATCCTGATTATAGGATTTTATCTTTTCAATTTTTATAGTTAATTTGTTGATTTAAAATTTCAAATGATTCCAAAATATTAGTTACAATTATCCCCAATTAAATTTTTGAGATTCCTTGTCACATTATAAGTGAAGATTCATGATTTTTTTATTGTTTCCGTATCCTATGACAATCTTTACCCCGGTTTTCTAAATGCTTCAAGATTTTTAATCAGAGGCGAATTTATATTAATTGATATATATAATTTACCTTTATAATGGTTTTTCATATCTTCTCTTCCTTCATTAAATTATTTCTCACAAATATCATATCCGTTAAAAGTTGTATTGGAAACTTAAAACCATAACTAATATATGTAACTATAAATAAAAAAAACTGAATATAGGTACATAATTGCTTCAGTGAATCGATGAAGAGCTTATACAATAGCCGATAATAAGTCATAGAGATGTATAATGTGTAGAACAGGAACTAATTAGTATAATCAACTTGTATTGTTACAATTATTTCTAGCTATAATTTCTTGTAAAAAACCGATCAAAGGAGGCCTAAATGTCGAAATTTTTTATAAGTGAAAAGCTTCCCACTTTTGTAGTAGTTGATTGAGCTTGTTGTTATTCAATGTCTATTTAATTTGTTAATAGGTTTTCCAAGTATCAGTTAATTATTTAGTTATTGCTTATGTGATATTTTTCTTTTTCCATTAAGAATATGTTAAAACCTTTAAACATCTTTAAAACTCATTAAACTACTATTCTTTAGTTTCATTAGGTACTCCAACAATTATCCTTCTTATATATTATTATTCATCATGTTTATGAAATACTTATTTCTGAGTTTTTATAGAATATTATCTTTATCTTATAGATGGGCTCACCTGAAAGATACGATCATATATCTTGGATTGGTTCATCTAAAAAAACAAAGAGATTGAAAAGAAAGAAGAATACAAGGAATTTGTATAGAGAGAAGCTCCAGTCAAATATGAAGAACACCAAATTCTACATAGATGAGAGAAATCACGAGTCCTTACAAGCTTCTGCCATTAAAAAGATTATGTTTGTTTGAAGGATAATATTGAAATGATGGCCTAGAGTTGCACGCTAAGCATTTTTAATTCTATGGAAAAAAAAGAAATTTGCAATTTATTATGATTTGCAAAACAGAGAAGGAATAATAACTTGGAGGTATGTTCAAAATTATCATTTTTTTCTTTTACAATTCATTTATAATTTTTTTTATAAATTTTATTATACTTAACTATGAGTCATATTCATATTTTATTTGAGTTTTGGAATATTTAATTGTTATTGTTCCTTAATTAGTTTTTGATTAATGTGTCTAAAAGTATTAACATTATAATTCTTACTCATTTCTTTTGAATTTTATCTAATCTTATCATTTATAAAGTTGATAAATTTAATATTTTTTTAGATCATACATATTCTGACCAAAAAAAAAGGATGCGTGGCAAAGGAAGAGTTACAATACAATTCGGATGTTGTTATAACTAGCGTTGTAATTTGAACTATTTATTTTTATCTTTATTCATTTTAAATAAATATAAAACTAAAAATGAAGTAATACAGGAAAAGAACGGGATCCCCCTGTATCCTTCGTAATGTGATTCTGAGTCC